AAGATAAACTGAATGCAGATGGTGCAGAACACCCATACAGCAGTTTAATTAATTGCCTTTAAATGTTAATTCAAAATAGTTTCCCTGAGTGATCTTATATAGGCAGATCCTCAGTTGCCTTAAGCCACTTTCCAGAGTGTGTTCAACTAATAAGGTATTCTTAGTCCTGATCGGGATGGTAATCAGGAATGATTAATTGTAAATAGCTCTTCTAAAGCAAACTGTACATGCTTCACTCTCTCGTGCTGCCCAGCTCTGCCCAGAACTGGCAGTGAGCCCTTGGGGGGCACAGGGAAGGGACTCCCCCCGTGATATGCTGATTTCTCAGCCACAAATCACCCTCCCACCCCTCTCCCCAGTGCTCTCCAGCTAGATCTGGCACGGAGGGTTTCCAGCATGGCGTCTAGATCTGCCAGCAGACTTCCCTGGGGGAGAACGGGATCTGGGAGGTCACAGCAGGAATTTATTAGCTGGGCTTAGCCACAGCCAAGCTCCCCGCCGGACCTTCAGAGCTATTGCATCGCGTCTCCCACCCCTGAGCAAGGCAGCCCTCAGTTTGGGTTTTATGCTGTAAAAGGGCCATGTCCCTCCAAAACTGCTGAGGGATCAGCAGCCCTGCTGAGAGTGCTACTTTGTGCTAAATCACAGGCAAAAAAAAATGCCTGCCCAGAGAACCCCATTCCTGGCCAGGCAAGACCCCGTGTGACAGCAGCTTCTGCGATGGCTCTGTCCTTGAGTCCTCTGTCCTCGAGTCCTCTGTCCTCGAGTCCTCTGTTCTCTTCTCTCCCCTCACTTTAGCTAAATTCTTCCCACAGTGTCTGAGTGCTCCCTACGTGCCGGGTTTGACCTCGGGCCAGTGAAATTTTCGGAGGTCTTCTCTTGCTTTCAGATGGCAGCACGTCCTCAGCTCTTTTGCTCCTGCGTTTTCCCACCTGCGGCGGCAGCCTCTGAGCAGTAATTCAGGCAGCGTACCTGCTGCACTCAAAGGCATCCCTGAGTTAACGCAGAGGGATGAAGCAAATCCATGTTATTAGGCTCCGCCGGAGAGGCTGAGCCTACAGTGGAAAAGAGTTTTACTTTCCCAAAGTCAAGGCCCGGGGAACTTGCTCCTACAACGACCCGTTAAAAAAACCCCAAGCAGTGCCACGGAGGAGTCGGTTCTCTGCCGAAAATCACATTTCGCTTAGTGTCAGCAATTCAGAAGAAACCCATCTGCAGGAAATTATGATGACAATTTCCTCTCCGAGTGAAGAGAAATTACAGCTGTAATTCCTCTTCGCTGCAATCCAGGAGGCAGCGAACAGCCTCCTCTCCCTGTACTTAATACCGATTACTCTGAAAACTTGGAGCCACGTGCCCGTACGGAGACATTTGTCTCCCATCGTGCTGTGTCGAGGCCATTGCTGCTGCACTCTCAGGCTGTCAGGAAAAACATCCCCAGAGGTGAAACCCAGCTACTTTTGTGCTATTTTGTTGTCTCTAATGATGGATATGCACTTGTTATTTTTACACTGTAAATTTTCAGTGTGAGAAGGGTGTCCTGCTGCATGCTTGTAGAGTGTCTGGCATATTTGGCTCTCGTTTTCTTGAGATTTTAGGTGTTAAATAAGGAAAAGAGCAGGAGAAGTTTGCAGTGTTGTTTCAGACGTTGGGCATGGGAGACTTCTCTCCCAGAGGGTGAGTGCCAAGGGAGGGCAGGCAAGAAGAGGCAGTATTTTGCAGGAGATGAACAGCTGGACATTGGAAGACAAGATGGTGTGTATTTTGAAATAAACCTTTTCTGTTAGAGACACATGGAGCAAAACCAAGGCTGCCAAAGGCTGCAGGTCTACAACTCTCAATGTGTTTTGCAATGCTTTTAGGACCAAAAACTGGTCTTGCTCATTGAAGGCTGGTGTGGTTCATGCACATATGAAGATAACCACTCATCAGAGGAAAGAAATAAAAACCTGGGTAGAGAATGGGCTCGTGGGAGGCCATTCCCAAGCCAAGTCTTGTTAAGGTGACACCATGAGGCTAAGGTATTGCTCCAGGTCCACAGGATGACATCTTAGCAGAGATGGACCTAGTGTGTGTCTGAATTCAGGACCTCTTCTGCAAGGTTTTGCCATTGGACCGCTGGCCGAGCAGATCTTTCCCCACCACCAGCTGCCTTAGCAGTCGTCAGCATCTTCCTGCTCCTCCCAGGGCTGCTGCTGGAGCTGACGGGAGTTTGATTGTGATTTAATCCAGGCTTTTAGAGGAGGGAAAAAAGAAAGTTTTGACAGTTCCATATATAGTGCTCTGACTCACAGATTTCATGTGTCAAACACTGAAGACGGGTTAAGTAGAATTAAGTTCTGGATTTGTTATAAATAGGCATTAAGTAACATGAATGTATTACATTTGCATGAAAATATGGGCCTGATTCTCTATCTTACCCCAGAGATTTTCTTTGACGTCGATGGGACGCTCCCGGGTAGGTGAGCTCAAATTGGAGCCAGCCCAGCTCTGACCATCCCCTGCAGCCACCACTTAACTGGACCTGGTGGAGCAGGGAAATCTGAATAAACATTGCTGAAATTGGGAAGGATTTATGCTCCTCACACAGATCAGAATTTGCCCTTTAAAATAGTACAAGTAGTCCTAATTAGACCCCAAATCTGCAGCTGAAGGAATAATTTCTCCATGTCAATCAGTGCTAAATGTACCTATTATACTGGGGAAGATGGGTTAAGATTAAAATTGCATAAAAAGTCACTTTTCTTCTCTTTATTCCAGAAGATGAAGGTTTTTTGGATTCAGATGTTACAGACGATCTCATCCTGCTCTGATTACCGTTCTGCTCAGCCACAGCCTAGAAGTCCATCCAGACAATGAAGTCACCCTCACCCAGAGCAAGTCTGACAGTTGAGCATTGTTTGGGTGAAAACAGGCCCCTTTAGTAAAATAAATGCTTCTGCAACGAGTGTGACAGACACAGACTCTACCAAATCAGATCCCTCCTCAAGAGTTTAATTTACTGACTTGTTCTTTGCTAAACAATTGAGAATTGGTCCATGGAGAAGGAACACAAAAAGGGCAGACAATATGGGCTGTATTTTGAGGCTGGACTAGTCCAAGCCAAGGGAAACTGGGTGTTTGAGCCACCCAGTGGCATTGTTTCTTAAAAAAATAATGTCCACCCCTGCAGCTCTACCTTTATTCTGAGGTTTGGCCCTATTTTTCTGCTGAGGGTGAAGAGAAGCAAGCTGGAGAGAAGGGATCTGCAGTATGACACAGCCGGGGCCACCGAGACAGAGTGACAATCCCATCCCTGGAGAGGTTGTTGTTATTACCCCACGGAGCTGTCGATCATGCAGGAACAGCATCAAAAGCTCCAGGAGCTTCCCGTGGCCCCGGTGGGACCCTCAGGCTCTGGTGCCTTCCCAGCATCACTCTGCCCTTGGTTGTGATTTTTCTTATCTAACTCCACATTCTGCTTTCTGCCATGAAAATAATTTCCAATTAAATGCATCCTCGGAGCCGATCTGGCTGTGAATTAGCCTGAAACTTGGTGGCTGGCTCGTTAGCTCATCAAAGCCTAGGGATAACGGGGAGGCGCAGCCTCAAGAGCGACGGGGCTGGTTGGGGATTTTGCTCATCTCCTTGAGCTCGCCGCAGCCCAGCAAACTGGGACATGGATGCCCTTTGCTCACCTTCAGCAGCTCTCTATTCCCCTTCATCCCAGAGCTGAGTAAAGCCACGCCAGGGCTGCAAAACACAGCCCTGCTGCAGCCTCCAGCGCTGCTTTGTGCTTCTGCCCTCTGGGGATCTCAGGGCTCGCGGAGTCCCTGGTGAGGAGCCGGCCACGCGCTCCAGCTCATGGGGAAGGGATTATCATGGCTCTTGTGACTCAGCCCACTGCTCCCGTGTGCTTTCCTGCATGGAAAGGAGAGGAGCTGGCCTGAATCCTCATTTTTTCCCCAATATTGGCTGCCTAAACAGTCTCTGCCCCTAGGGACCTTCCCCAGGTCTCTGCTCTCCTGGCGGTGGGCACCCTGAGGGTGTCTGGATGCTGAGGGCAATGGCAGTGATGTGGTGATCTCCACCTCTCCATGAGAAAAACAGAGAAACCAGGTAGGAAGCCCACGGAATGAGCAGCAGGGCTGGCAAGGAAGGGGAGGGAAGGGCAGCTCCACGGCCCCAAAGCATTGCTGGGGATGGTCAGGCACAGGGTGCTGCTCTCTGATCAGAGCAAAAGGCTTCAAAGTCCCAGGTTTTGGGACAATTCAAACGCTTCAGAAAGAACCAGGAACTGGTAAAATGAGGGTTTCTGCCTGCTGTGGACGTGTGGTTTGGGAGATGTTGAAAGACGCACTTCAGGGCTAGTTTGGGGGCATGGAAACTTTGGTCCATGTAGTGTGGGCTCCCAGCACCCCCCGTGGGGTGGGTGGGGGTCCCCTTGGCGACGGTCCCCATGGAGAACCCGTCCACACTCCCAGTGTGTTGATGCTGTCATGGCAACCAGGCCAGTGCCTGTTCCCCAGAGCTTGGGACAAGACAGGACCAAGGACCTGGTGGACCCTTGCCTCTCCTGCACTTCCCACTGGAACTAGGGGCTGTTCCTTGGGAATACCCGACTGCAACAGCAGTCCATCCCCTGTCTGGAGAGGAACTGCAGCACCCTGCAGTGGGGTGAGCAGCCTCAGGGGGGACAGGGGAGCCCGGGGGACTGCAGCGGGGCTGGGGGGGGACCAGTTTTGGGGGTGAGGGCTGCAGAGTTGTCCCCAGTGCCCTCCCTGGCTGTAGTGGGACAGGGGCTGAACCCAGGCAATGTCCCCGGCTCGTGCTCCCCAGGGACTCTGCCCATCGGCACGGGGGGCCTGGCCTTGCCGGGATTTCTATGGAAACCCAGGTACCGAATGGGGTGGAATAGCTCAAACCATCTGTTCTTCCCCTACTTATAAACTCGATAAGAGGAGCGTGTTTCGCGATGACATCACTACAAATGCTCTCCTTTTATTCATCATGCAGCCATCTGTGATGGTTTCCTCATGTGCCAAACACGCGAGCGGATGCTGAGCAACGGGCAGAGGGACACCATCACCCCCTTACCCGTGTCTCATTTCTCCCCTTGGAAAGCAGGCCTGGCCCCACAGAGACTTCCTTATCCCCTTCCCGAGGCGTCTGCAGAGCAACCGGCGGAGTTAGCTGGGAAAAATGAGGCAGTTAAAGGTAAAAACTGAAGCACAATGCAAAGCTGAACTTCTCCACAGGCGCTGTGGAGGATCTGCCTTGGGGACCTCACTTGCAGACATCAAAGCTGCGGTGAGCTGGGCCAGCAGTGGGGACCCAGGCTTCCTTTTGCCAGCAAGGCAGCTTCTTGGCTAGAAGTCACCTTTCCACAGCCGGGGATGTGAGCACTCCTGCTCTGCTCCCGGGCAAAGTCAGCTGGGTTCATTGGTGTCCCCAGCATGGGTGGGTTTGGTTCTGACTCACGTTGTCCTCATGGTCATGCTGGGTGATAAAAGAGGTGACAACCTGCCATCACCTGCCCTTCCCGCTGCTGGGGGTCTGCACCCTGTCCTGGAATCGAGGTGCTGGCTGCAGCTCAGTGGTCAATGGTCAGTGCACCGTGGTCAACAGGCACTGATTTTGGTTGCTTTTAGCATCTCCTTGCCCTGAGGAGTGGTGGTAGCACAGGAGGGGGTTACCCAGGAGCAAAGCACCCGCTGGACTTTCCTCTGCAGTGGGTCAGAAGTGCTCATGGAGTTGGTTTGTGTGGCTCAGTGTTTCGGGTGGTAACGAGTATCTTTGGTGGCAGTGAAGAGCTGAAGGTGGTGACAAACAGCTGGAGGTGGTGATGCCATTAACCGGCTCCTCTGTGTCCAGCTCTGCTGTCTACCACGGCTGGTCATGTTTGCTCAAATGACCAAACTCTCCCTCTCTGTGACAGCGGCGACAGCCCTCTTTGAGGAGGAATCTTTTGGACCTCCCAGTGAAGGACAAAGAAAAGCTGGCTGAAGCTGAGTTCAGGAGGCTGCAGAAACAGTTTCAGATAGCAGCGGAGAAGAGGAGATCTTATGCTGCCAACGTAAGGCAGCAGATGCAGGCTCAGGAGTGAGTGCATCTTCCCTCGGCTGCATTGTGCTTGGAAAGTTCCTCCACGCCAAGATCTGGGGACCCCGGTGCTGAGATGGGGGGCGGTAAGGACCTGCTCTGGTGTTGCAGGTGGAATGTGTTAAACGCCATTTGTTGTTGTGTTTTTACAGAAAAGAAATAGAGTTGCTGACTCAAGAACACGAAGAGATGTTGTTAACACTGAGCAAGATCATGTCCCGGAGAAATGTGATGCTGGATGACAGAAATTGTAGGGAGGTCCGATGCCTTTTGCAGACCAAATATCAATATGACTCTCTGATTAGAGACAGAAAAGCCCTGTTAGCTGACCTGGACAACCAGGTAAGAGCACCTGGACCGTTCCCTGGCTGAGCATGGTAGAGAAGAGCAGAGTCACAGAGTGAGTCCTGTGGCTGAAACTCCTGGATGCAAAATGCATTTAATGCAGGCCTTGGAATATCATAGAATCATAGAACATGATGCTACATCCTGGTAAAAGACACATGACAATGAAAAATTGATAGAGCCAGGCTCTAGATTGAAGTTAGCAGCACTGGCTAGAAAAATAAGGTCTGACTCCCTATTGTCCCACCAGTCTCTGCAGCTCCTCTTTGACAGCACACACCTGGCTGGCACACACCACGCAACAACCCCCTGCTTTTCCCTTGACTTTTTTTTTCCTCCTGAAAAAGAGGCAGAAATGGAACGTTAAGTTGTGCTGCATGAGACGTGGCAAACAGAAAAGCAGCAACATCTGAGGGAAGTCCTGCCACTTCTCCTGAAAACGGCCTGGTTGGATTTGCTCAATGGTGGGGTGGGAGGCCACGAGAAACCCAGTGCTACAGAAGTGACAGGTCCCTGCAGCTTTCTGCTCCCAACAAGCCATCTGTGACACACGTCAGGGAACATGCTCGGGTAGTTTACAGTTGCTAGAGGTGCTGCAGAGCTTTCCTCAACAGGGTTAGCTTTCAGTCAGGGATCCCTTGGCTGAGTCATACCTCTCCCACCTGCCCCCCCGCTTCGTTGTTCTCCAACTACTTCATTCTTCTCGTGGATTTATTTCCCCTGGCAGCTGCCCACTGCTGGCAAAAGTTTTCCTCCACTCATTCCCAGGGAGGACTGTGCAGATCCCTTTCTGACCAGCACAAAACCACTACCAAAATCCCATCCTCATTGCCTCCTCCACTCTACACGGAGTGCTGCCGTGCCTTGTTCAACACCTGCTGAATTTCCCTCCAAAGGCAGATGCATTTCCTTCGTGACACAAAAATAAACCCATTTGTAGTTACAGTTTATGTTTCTGCGTGTGCAGGATGGGATCCTTTGGGATTAAAGCTGCTTTTATAACTGTGAGCTCATTAATGACATGGTTGCTGTAGTTCAGGTCAACAGAGGGTATTTTCTTTGGCTGAGTGTCCTGACAAGAGTCCAGACCGTGGTGGAGGTTAAACTTACTTTTTTTTTTTCTTCTTTTTTTTTTTCCTTTTTTCCCTCCATGTGTGCAGATACTAGAGCTGGAAAAAAAGATTGTGAGGGAAAACGAGATAGCAGGCAAGGTGAAGCAAGCGAACAGTAGCAAACGGCTGCAGAAGCAGATTGAGACACTGGAGTCGTGTCTGAACAACGTAAGCAAAGGCTTTGCAAACCTTTGGAGACCATGTGTGAGGCCACACCGAGACCTGTGTGCAAAACACTTCTTGGTCAGGACAAAGGGTAATGGTTCAAGTGCATTTGGTTGACACGAGCTGCGTAAAGGACCTGGCTTGTTCCCCTGGCCTGATTGCTCCCAGAATATCTCAAAGGCTCCTTCAAGCTTGGTGACCCAAATGCAGCTCTTGTGCCATGCCAAGAAGCCTGAAGGCCTGCACCTGTTTAGTGACAAAACCGAACTGCCTGAAGCCACCTTGCCTTTGACAGTGCCAGCTGCAGGTCTGTGATCGGCCTGTCTTGGGAGGAGGATAGTGCAGGGCCAACTTAAAATCTCTTGGGCTGTGTTTGTCCCAGCCCAGGTCAAGGTCTTTCAGCAGAGACCTGAGCCCCCCAGTCCCGCACCAGCTTCAAACCTTTTGCTTCCCTCTCCCCAGGTCACTGTCCGTTTCAATACCATCCTGACCAGAAACAACAAGCTCCGAGAAGAGATCGAAACCCTGCGAATCTGCAAAGCCACTTTGGACAACTTCTACTTGAAGGTCCATAAGAAGCTGGACCAGCAGTGGACAAGGATGAACATGGCTGTTGAGCAATCCACACAAGCCTATGAGCAGCGGTACGTGGCCTTCAGAACCCTCTGGGGCAAACTTGGCACCGATGGGCAATGCCAGCGATGGGTATCGATGTCAAGAGAGACCCAGTGGAACTTCAGAGAGAGGGTTCACCGCTCTTGTCTAGAGCTGGGTGCTAAGGGTTAGGTGCCTGGTCAACGCAGGGAGACTGGTGCCTCCAGGGTGATTTACTCCACCTATCCCAGACGTTTCTTGGGATGGGGTGAATTGCCCCATGGAGCACTCTCTTTCCTTGTGAGCCCCACCTCAACCCACATGGGGGGAAGCAGCAGACCAGGAGCAGAGGCCGGCCAGCTCTGGTCAAAGTGAGCCTGGCTGCCACAGCTGGGTTCTGAGTCCAAGTACAAAACCCCACCAAGAGCTATTTTAGCTGCTGCTGACCTTGGGCTAACACAGCTGCATCTGGATGAGAGCTGGGCAACGTGCTCAGCATCGTGGGGCCTTTGCAAGGTCAGGAATGCATGGGAATGGCCAGGAATACAAATCCTTATACCTACGCTGGTGTAACCTGCTGCTTTCTGTGTGCAGGATGGAGGCTCTGGCAAGAATTTCAGCCATGAACGAAAGACACAGCAAAGACACTGTCCAGTACAACGTCGAGCTGCAAAAGCGGGAGTGTGTCCTTGACCAGGAGACCAAACTGAAAGCCTTCATGCTCCCCAAATTTACAGATCGCTCTGAACTGGAGGAACAGGCCAAAAAGAAAAGAGGTATCAGATGGGAGAAACCACGTGCAACTGGGACTGCAAACCAGGAGTCCAACCAGGGTTGGCAAGGGGGCTGCTTATAGCACTGCACCCCAAAGGCAGGACCTCTCCCCTACCTGCAGGCTCCTTCCCCCACCCTTTGCCCTACAGAAGAAAAGGATGAACAGTGATAATCAAGTGAGGTGACCCAAAACCATGGGTCTTGGGGTGCCTTTAGGAAAGAAGGAGGGACAAGGTGGCAAGGACTTCCCCCTGTGTGCAACCATGGCTCCTTTTATCCTCCTGGGGAGGGATCCAACTGTGTTTGCCCCATTCCCTTGAGGACAGTGAGCTCCCTGCCTAGTTTCTAGGTGAAATAAAGACATCTTCTGGCACTGCTCCCCCATGCCCTGAGCTCCCTGCAGCACCCACAGGGGAAGGTTGTGTAAATGGCAGCCTGCAGGGACATGCACAGCCCGGGCTCTCTGTCTCTCACCCTCAGACCTGAAGGCAGCCCAGAAGGCCAAGCGGAGCCAAGGGGAGAGCTTTGAGAGCCGGGAGGTGGCTTACAAGCGCCTGCTGGAGCTGGCGGAGGATGGGGACGTCGACCGGCTGCTGAATGGCTTCATCGAAAAGGAGGAGAAGAACTTTGCCTGCTTCAGCTACGCCATCGAGCTGAACAACGAGATGGAGAAGATGCGGCAGAGGATCAAAGACCTCCAGGTGTGTTCCAGGCTCTTCATGTCTCCCCTTTCTCAGATGGTGCTTTTGGGCTGGGGTGGGTTTTTCCTCTCCCACGTTGGCTCACAGCCTGCCACACGGGTGGGATTAGGGGAATGCAAAAATATAACTCCAGCAGAAAAATGCTGGGTTCTCAGAGCTAAAAGTGTCTCAATGCTGCCACCGTGTACCCAGCAAAAATACTGCAGTAACCAGGAGAGCCAAGAGCTGTCTTGGCTCTTTGTGGGGCTGGCTGGAGTGAGAAGGGCTGTGAGGTCACCATCTACCCTCCTGACCTGGGGACAGTGGTCGCCAGAGGGGTCAAGTGGGATGTCCCTGCTCCCAGGGCAGAGGTCCCCAGCCTCAGATAGGCACGTCTGGTGGGCGTTCAGCCAGTACCCCCTCCATGTGCTTGTGTTTACACAGGATGAAATCACATCCCTGATGACGGACCAGGAGTGTGCAGAGAGCAGCAGCCTTCATGACCTGCAGAAGCTGGAGGTATGGTGGACGGGATTTCCCTCTGCAAGGGCAGCAGACCCCTGTCTGTCCAGGCACATGTCCTAAGGAGTCTCGTCCTGTCAACGCTGCTCTGGCCAACAGCTAGAGTGGCATGGGCAGAAATGGGCTCTGCATTGGCTTTGGCAGCCCTTTCTCCCAGTGTGTGGTGAGAGGGTGACTGCAGGGCTCCTGCCAGCCCTGGTCCTCCAGCACCTGGGACCTCATCTATGGCATGGGGAGCTTGGGATCCCCTTCATAGAGCCTTTCCCCTGCAGGCATGGGAGCATCCCACAGCCTCTCCTGGGATATCTCCAATGTCCAGACTGGAACTGGCTGGCACTGGGGTGGGAGAGAGAGCAGGGGGCTGGTGTGACACCTAGCAAAACCTTTGCTGATAGGAAAAACTAGCGGGAGCCACTGAGGAAGCCAACTTGTATGAAGACAGATGCAAAGAGAGCAGCAAAGTCCTGGGCCAGCTCAAATCTGGCATGGAGGCCCTGATCACAGACATCAACTGCGATGCTACAGAGATAGTGAAGCAGCTCGGAGAAAATGGGCAGATCACGGATCTGAACCTGATGCAGCTTTCTGGTGAGTCAGGGGTGCCCATCTTCCCCTGCCACGTGGCCCAGACCTTCTATGTCCACCACCCACTTGCATTGTGTTTTAATTGAGCTTTTTTTTTTTTCCCCTGCCCAGTCATGCGTAGGTGTCCCTACTGTAAATTTGGGGTGCCAAATTCCCAGCAAATTCAGGAGCAAACCTGGGTATATAAACATCCCAGTGGACCCCCAAGCCCTCATTTTGGCTCTGGGTGTGGGACCCAGCCTTGGGCCCTTGCCTCTGGGGAGACAAGCTGCCTGATGACACTGCCTCAGGGAAATCAATGGATCCCTTGCTCAGTTGGGAGTGGTTTTACCATAGAATCGTAGAATGGTTTAGGTTGGAAGGGACCTTAAAGATCATTGAGTTCCAACCCCCTGCCATGGGCGGGGACACCTCCCACCAGACCAGGTTGCTCAAAGCCATGTTCAACCTGGCCTTGAACATCTCCAGGGATGGGGCAGCCACAGCTTCTCGGGGCAGCCTCTTCCAGGGTCTCACCACCCTCACAGCAAAAGTGGAGGGAGGGGTGCAGGGGCCCAGCGCAGGGGCCCTGTGGGACAGTGCTTCTTCCCACCCAGGTCTCGTGGAGAAGAAGACCAACGAGCTCCTCCTGATGGAGTCCGTCCTGCGCTGGACCTCATCTGATGACTTTCTTTCGGCCCCGACCTTCAGCAACCCACTGCTGGAAGGCACCGGGCTCCTCCGCCTGATGGATCGGAGACGTCTCTGCCCGTTGCCCCCAACCCTGGACGGCACCACCGATGCCACCGACGCCTGTGAGTGTGGGAGGGAGGGGACGTGGCCACACAACCGGCCAATCCACAGCTCCCCCCTGGCTGCCTGGCCAATCCCCTGCTGTTGGCTCACCTCCCCAGCCAATCCCAGCCAGTCTGCCCCTCCCCAACGGCTATATAATGCCTGTGGCGGTGTGCCTGATGGGGCGGTCATTTTCTTGGGCAGTGGAGGCACCGTTGGACCATGGGCAGCTGCGCCAGCTGATTTCTAGTGCTGGGAGAAGTAGCAGGGCAACATCACCGGCACGGGCAAGAAGGGGAGGAATGGCGTCAAGGTGCGAGAGCCCAGCGAGAACAAGTTAAATAAACGGTTTCACTCTTGAGCTCCCCCCCTCTTGGCTTTTTTTTGCCCTTGCAGCTCCCTTCCCCTCTGGAAGGAGCCCAACACCTTCTGTAGGCTTCAAAAGGTGATATTTTGGCATGGCTTTGCCCACAGCAGCCACAGCCAGGGGTGGGAGCAGCTGCTCTCCGGTGAGGTGTCATCCCCATTGCACAACCCCAACGTGCTTCCTGCAGCCAGGCATCCCGGTGCCAGGGAGGAGATGAGGACTATGGTTCCACTTCTGCACCATGTCTGCTCCAAGGGACTTGGGAAGGGTATGAGGGGAGATGTTTGCGCTTGATGGGTGTTCCCTGCTAAGCTGGGAGAAGTAGGCAGACATAAAGTAAAGCCAAGCTCACTCCTGGTCCTGGGCTGGTGGGACCAGATGGCTGCTAGCCACAGCCCAGTGTGAAATGGCCTGTTTGGGGCTGGGAAATGGTAAGGCAGAGGGATCTGAGAGTAGTTGAGGGTGATGTGCAGTGGGGCCAGGAGGCTGGAGGCAGCAGGGTCTGGGATGACTCCAAGGGCTCCTGCTGGGAGGAGATGCACCATACAGACACACTATGAAAGCCCAAGCGCCACTCACACCAGCAGCTGGATTTCGTTGGGCCAAAAGGCAGTTTAATGTGGAGGCCATTCACATGTTTCCCACAGGGAGAGGCAAAGGGACCCCTCCACCCAACCTAGAGAGAGGCGATCTCCCAGTGCCAGCCCCAGCACCGAGTGTGAGCTAGTCCTTCTCTTCACCATGTGTAATGACATGGACAAGGTTTTTGTAATCCAGGTTGCCAGACATGTCTGGGGGGAAGGCTGCGAACATCTGATCGATCTGCCGGGAAAGAGCCGGGGTGAAGAGGTGGCAGAGAAGGGGTTTGTGGCTGGGGCTGGGAGGGGAGGCTGGGGGGGGTCTGTCAGGATGGAGGGCACGGGAGGCTAGCAGAGGGTGGGAAGGAGCTCATACCTCTTCCTGGGAAAACCTTTCGCCCTGAGTCATCAGCATTTCTTTGATGCTGCAAACAAGAGAGCACAGTAAGCACCAAGGGGGGGACATGTCAGTGGGGATGCCACCTCAGTGGGGACGCCCGCCCTCCCCTCTGGGCACCCCTGCACTCACTAGGCAGATTTCAGGCCTTTCCCCTCTGGGTCGAACACCTTGAACGCGTTCAGAATCGTCTCCTCTGGGTCAGCACCTGCAGAGGACACAGCCACAGGCATCAGAGGTGGTGGAGGAGGAAACCAGCTGCAGCCTCCTGCTTCCTCCACAGCCTTTGGGGGGAAGATGAGGGGCACGCTGGGAAGTGGGGAGCCCATGGGAATGCTGACCCTGCAGTTGGGACCTTGAGAGGGCTAGTAGAGGCATGTAGAGGAGCAGAAATAGGGTTGTGGTGTGCCCACAAAGCAGGCTATGTCACCACCACCGTGGCATCTGGTGTCTATCTAATCTTTTGGGGGTTATTTATAGAGCTCCAGGCACAGGCCCTTGGGACTGTGGAGCCTCCTGGAGATCCGTGAGGAGGTTGCATGCCTTAGGTTGCGTAAGTGATACAGGCTGCAGCCAGATAGGGCTGTTGGGTCAATGTCACTCTGTAGCCAGTGCCCTTGCTAGAGTGGCCACCAGTGCCACCGTTGCTGTCAGCAGGTTCAGAGGTGCTGCAAGATCTCCTGTCCCCTCTTTTATAGGGACAGCGGCATCACAGCCTGTTGGGTTTATTTAAATGACTGGGGAAACTGAGGCACGGAGACCTGCTCATACACCTAACAGGTTGGGGAGACATGGAATGAGGTCCAGGTCTCTGGACAGGCAGCCCCAGCCCTGCCTTTGGGACTGTTGGTACTGAAAGCCAGCATGGGGTGCATGCAGCACCTTGGGGTGCAAGGACCTGGGGACAGTTGCTCAGGGTACATGATGCTGAGTTTGTCCTATCTGCAATGTCTAGGGATGGGGAGGCAGGGAGAGTCCCCAAGTCCAGGATTTGGAGAACGAGGACTGGAGCTCTTGGGGAGAGAGGCTGTTGCCAGTGATGGTCCCACTGAAGCCTCTATCTTTGGGGGGTGTCCCTGTGTTGTCACTGGGAGAAGGTGGCACTAAGGGATAAAGGAAGGAGATAATTTCACGAGTATCCTGTGGTTGTCCCCAGGCCCTGGTGTGGGAGGCATCTTTGCTCTGATCCACCTCCCAGGCTCTGCAAGCCACAGAATGGCAGTTGGTGCCACCTGCCTTTCCTTTAGCAGCTCCCGAGGCCTCTATGGAGCCTCTGATGGGTCTCACCGGGAAGGGAGACAGAGGCCCTGGGAGTTGGGCGGCTTCCCCAGGTGGGACAGGATACTGGTGACGGTGTGGGCGCCCACCAACATGCCCCTCCCAATCTCCCTGCCCCCTCACCCTTGAGTTTCTCCCCAAACATGGTGAGGAACACAGTGAAGTTGATTGGACCAGGTGCCTCTTTTATCATCTCATCAATCTCCTCATTTTTCACGTTCAGGCGCCCTAGGAGAGAGCAACGTTTGGTGAATTGTGTGTCCATGTCTGGCTGCAGATGCGTGCAGACCTCTAGGCTCTGCTCCATGAGCTGGGGTCTAACAGACACACCATGGGAGCCTTCCCCTGGAGGTTTTTCTCCACCTGAGGGAAGCAGCATAGCCCTGGGGAAGCACCTCTGACAAGGAACAGCAGTAGCAGAAGTGAGGAAGGGAGAACCATGTGCTAGCAGACGATGGGTGAGCTAGACATCTCCATCTCTACTTTCTCAGGCTCCAGGATCACAGAAGATAGGGCTGCAAAGGACTGAGCTGTGCTGCTTCCTTCCCTTGCCACACCACCCCACGGATCAGCCTGCTTTAGCCCTCCTTGGAAGATGTTTTGGGTCAAAACCATGAGCGCTGTGGTTCCCCCTGGCCCCTGGTGTCAGAAGTGAACAGGACAACCTACAGTCTTTTGCCTGAGATTGGATTTTCTTTGGGACTTCCCGGCTCCATCACTGGTTTGTGCTGACCTCTGTGATGAGAGAGCCAAACTCCAAACTTCACAGCTTCCCATAAATCCCGTAAATCCCCCTAATGCCCCTACACCCAGGGATGCTGCGGGATGGGCACAGCCAGGTGCTTCTTAGCACGTGAGAAGGCAGGGAGCATTTGGCAGTGTATGATCCAGGAGCTGGCTCCTCTCTCATTCCTATGGGATTAAATACCCACGGGAGCTGCTCCGAGTCACTCCGTGCAGGATGTCACGGGCCAAGAGAAGTGGTTTCAGATCAGGGGGTTTTCAGCAAAACAGGAGATCCAGTTTAACCACTGGGGCTTGGTTAAATGGAGGCTCAGGGCTGGTTGCTCACTGAATAGGTCTAATGTTGTCAAAGCTCTTGGGGAGGGGATGGTCCTAAAAGGGGGCTCACCAAGCGCAGCAAACGTGTCTCTCAGATCTGCCTTGTCAATGAAGCCGTCCCGGTTCTGATCCATGATGGTGAACGCCTGGAAGCACAGGAGGAGAGCAGGAAGAGCTGTTGGCCTTTGCAAAGGCTTTAGTACCCTCTTCCTCCTCCCTTCGACTTGGATGGGTCAAGGGCACTTTGAGCCCTGCCCGAGATGGGCCCTTGGGGGTCCTCACCCAGCGAGGAAGCCACAACTTCATCCAACAGCAATCCTGGCTCCTCTGCCCATGGGCAGTGTAGGGTGAGGGTTTCCTACGGCAGCCCAAACTCTAATGCCCTACAGACCCTCGGCCTTGGACAAAGCTCTCTTGCCCAGGGATGAGACCAACGGGGGAGTCAGCCCCCCCAGCTGGGACCAGTTATCCCTGTAACTGGGATCCACACAGGACCATGGGCCAACCATGCAAGGGGTGAGTTGTGAAGAGCTCCTGGCACGGCAGGTAGGAGCTGGGTGAGAGATGTTCTCCTGCTCTCCTGGATGCTGCTGGCTCCTCTGTGGGGTGTGGACTCCTAGGAAGCTTCGAGGCGATGCCCTATTTAACAATGTCATCAAGTTCTTACTCACACTTTTAAAATAAAATGACTCAAAACCAGGCATGCTGCCTCTTGTTGCAAACCAGCTGTCACCGATCTGGAAGCACTGAGGGAAGAGCTGAAGGTCACATTGCATCAAGGACCCTCGGTCATTTCTAGCAAACCCACCTACCTCTTTGAATTCCTGGATCTGGGCCTGCTCGAACATGGAGAAGACGTTGGAATTAGCACCTTCAATCCTCTTCTTGGCTTTCTTGGGTGCCTGCAGGGGTTCGAGTATGTATCACTAACTCACAGGCTTTTTATGGTGTGGAATAAAAGCATGAAACTACCCTATTCTTAGTTGTGAGTCCTTCAGGGTAGCTCTGGGCTGGTGCTGCCACTGCACTTGGATGCTTGGTGATTTTCCCATGCATTGCTCAGGAGCTCTGGGCACACGCAACCCTCCAAGATACTGAGGGAACGTTAAGATTCCTGCTTATATTACAGCTCCATCTTTTCTTTAGTGATGAATTTAGGCAAACAGGTCCAAGGAAATTTGAGTTGGGAAACCAATTCCCCACCAGAGGCAGGTAAAAAGATCAGCACAGAGGTGAGATCTTCCCTGGTGGAAACCCTGTTTGGGAGTGCTGCTGGGGTTGCGGACAGGGTAGTTGTTGGTGGTTCCTTACCTCTCTGCGCCTCTCACTAAGAACCCAACCCTTGTTAAAAAGTTTGCTTATTAAAAAAATCTGCCTCCTCCTGTGCTGAGGCTTGGAACAACCAGAAATGGTTTGATGTGGCTTTTGAACAGGAGCAGAGGACAGAGCTGCTCGCCCTCCCACCCTGCCCATTGTCCCTTGGTCCGGCTGGGCGCTCCAGCAGCCTTTCCCTCTGATCGGAGGGATCCAGGAGGAGGCAGTGCAGGAAGGTTTTGGGAGACACAACAGCCATTCCCATCACTGAATATAGCAAGGGAAAGCAGAAAGATGGCATTTAGACCCCACAGCGGTCTGCCCCAGTTAGAAAGCTCTGCTAGTGCAGGAGACACCTCTCTGTTCCCCGTGGGATGCTTTCAATGCAGCCAGATGCTCCCCAGCTTGCTCTCTCCCTTTCTGGGGCAGGAGGGATCCTTGGCCCTTACATCCCTGTCGCCTCCATCACTCCCTGCCCGTTAAAGCTATCCTGGTGAGAAAACTATCAGATTTTGCCTTTCCCCCCTGGAAATTCAGGCTCTCAGTACTCACCATGGCTTCACACAGCCGTCGATGTCGCTGTGAGAGGTGTCTCGGAGGCAGTCCCTCGCTTCGCCTGGGCTGAAACAATAAATACATCCCTCTCTGGGTTAAAAATAACCCCATGCCCACTTTTGGCAGTACTAGGTAAGTTAG